TTTTAAAAAAAAATATCTATTTTTTAGGTGTAGATGGACACAGCACAATGCCTTTATTTTTATGTGGTGCTGAGGATCGAACCCAGGTCCCGCCCGTGCTAAGCGAGCGCTCTACTGCTGAGCCACAATTCCAGCCCTTAGTATGCTGTTTTTAAGTCCTTTGGGTATAGATCAAGGAGTGGGATAGTTAGGTTAAATGGTTGTTCCATTCCCAGTTTTCCAAGGATTCTCCATACTGCTTTCCATATTGGCTGTACCAATTTGCTGTCCCACCAGCAGTGTATGAGTGTGCCTTTTCCCCCACATCCTCGCCAACACTTATTGTTGTTTGTATTCTTAATAGCTGCCATTCTGACTGGAATGAGATGAAATTTTGAGTAGTTTTGATTTGGATTTCTCTAATTGCTATAGATGTTGAACATTTTTTCATATATTTGTTGATTGATTATATATCCTCTGAGAAGTGTGTGTTCAGTTCCTTGGCCCATTTATTGATTGGGTTATTTGTTTTTTTGGTGTTAATATTTTTGAGTTCTTTTTTTGCCATACAATTTATTTTTATTTTTATTTATTTATTTATTTTAGTCATACATGACAGCAGAATGTATTTTGACATATAATACATACATGGAAGATTTTTGAGTTCTTTAGAGATTAATGCTCTATCTCGTGTGATAAGAATTTGTTCCCAATTAGTAGGTTCTCTATTCACCTCACTGATTGTTTCTATTGCTGAGAAGAAGCTTTTTAGTTCGAATCCATCCCATTTATTGATTCTTGATATTAATTCTTATGCTATAGGAGTCTTATTAAGGAAGTTGACGTGATGGAGATTTGGGCTTACTTTTTTCTTCTAACAGATGTAATGTTTCTGGTTTAATTCCAGGTCCTTGATCCACTTTGAATTGAGTTTTGTGCAGGTGAGAGATAGGGGCTTAATTTCATTTGTTGCATATGGATTTCCAGTTTTCCTAGCACCATTTGTTGAAGAAACTGTCTTTCTCCAATGGTATGGTTTTGGCACCTTTGTCAAATATATGATAACTGTAATTTTGTGGGATAGTCTCTGTCCTATTCTGTACCATTGGTCTACAAGTCTGTTTTGGTGCCAATACCATGCTGTTTTTGTTACTGTTGCTCTGTAGTATAGTTTAAGGTCTGGTGTGGTGATGCCACCTGCTTCGCTTTTCTTACTAAGGTTTGCTTTAGCTATTCTGGATCTCTCTTTTTTCCAGATGAATTTCATGACTGCTTTTTCTATTTCTATGGAATGTCATTGGGATTTTGATTGGAATTACATTAAATCTGTAGAGTGCTTTTGGTAGTATGGTCATTTTGACAATATTAATTCTGCCTATGCAAGAACCAGGTAGAGCTTTCCATCTTCTAAGATCTTCTTTAATTTCTTTCTTTAGCATTCTGTAGTTTTCATTGTAGAGGTCTTTACTACTTTTGTTGATTCCCAAGTATTTTATCTATCTATCTATTTATTTATTTATTTTTAATAATAAATAAATAAATATAATAATAAATAAATATTATCTATTATATGTGGTTTTAAGGATCGAACCCAGGGCCTCACACATGCTAGGCGAGTGCTCTACTGCTGAGCCACAGTCGCAACCCCTATTTTTTGATGCTATTGTAAATGAGGTAGTTTTCCTCGTTTCCCTTTCAGAGCATTTGTCACTGATATACAGAAATGCCTTTGTTTTATGGGTATTGATTTTGTATCCTGCTACTTCGCTGAATTCATTTATTAGTTCTAGAAGTTTTCTGCTGGGATTTTTTGGGTCTTCTAGGTAGAGAATCATATTGTCAGGAAATAGTGCCAATTTGAGTTCTTCTTTAATATCTTTAATATTAATCCCTTTAATATCTTTCATTTGTATAATTGCTTTGGCCAGTGTTTCAAGAACTGTGTTAAATAGCAGTGGTGAAAGAGGGTAATCCCTATCTTGTTCCAGTTTTTAGAGGGAATGTTTTCAGTTTTTCTCTATTTAGAGTGATGTTGGTCTGGGGCTTAGCATAAATAACTTTTATGATGTTGAAATGTGTTCCTGTTATCCCTAGTTTTTCTAGTGTTTTGAATATGAAAGGTTATTATATTTTGTCAAGTGCTTTTTATGTATCTGTTGAATATGATCATATGGTTCTTTAAGTCTATTGATATGAATTACATCTTTTGATTTCCGTATGTTGAACGAACCTTGCATCCCTGGATGAACCCCACTTGATCGTGGTGTACTATGTTTTTGATAACACTTTTGTATACGATTTGCCAGAATCTTATTGAGAATTTTTGCATCAATGTTCATTAAAGATATTGGTCTGAAGTTTTCTTTTTTTGATGTATCTTTGCCTGATTTTGGAATCAGGGTGGTATTGGCTTCATAGAATGAATTTGGAAGTCTTTTTTCTATTTTCTGAAATAAATTGAAGAGTATTGGCATTAGTTCTTCTTTAAAGGTTTTGTAGAACTTGGCTATGTATCCATCTGGTCTGGGCTTTTCTTGATTGGTAGGCTTCTGATGGTGTCTTCTATTTCATCACTTGAAGTTGATCTGTTTAAATTTGTGTATCTCATCCGGATTCAGTTTGGGCAAAATACGACTCTAGAAATTTGTCGATGCCTTCAGTGTTTTCTTTTATATTGGAGTACAAGTTTTCAAAATAATTTCTGATTATCTTCTTTATTTTTGTAGAGTCTGTTTTAATATTTCCTTTTTCATCATGTATGTTAATGACTTGTTTTCTCTCTTTCTCTTTGTTAACATAGCTAAGGGTCTGTAAATTTTATGTATTTTTTTCAATGAACCAACTTTTTGTTTTGTCAAATTTTTCAATTTTTTTGTTTCAATTTCATTGATTTTAAGTTTGATTTTAATTATTTTCTATCTTCTGCTTTTGGTGTTGATTTGTTTTTCTTTTTCTAGGGCTTTGAGATGTAATGTTAAGTCATTTATTTGTTGACTTTTTCTTCTTTTAAGGAATAAACTCCATGCAGTGAACTTTCCTTTTAGAACTGCCTTCATAGTGTCCCAGAGATTTAGATATATTTTATCTGTGTTCTCATTCACCTCTAAAAATTTTTTGGTCTCCTCCTTGATGCCTTCTTGCAACCCATTGTTCATTCAGTAGCATGTTATTTAGTCTCCAGGCGTTAGAGTAGCTTTTATTTCTTATTTTATCATTGATTTCTAATTTCAATCCATTATGATCTGATAGAACCCAGGGTAGTATCTCTACTTTTTTATATTTGCTAAGCGTTGCTTTGTGGCATAATATATGGTCTATTTTAGAGAAGGATCCATGTGCTGCTTAGAAGAAAGTGTATTTGCTTGTTTAAGGATGAAATAGTCTATATATGTCAGTTAAGTCTAAGTTATTGATGTATTAGTGAGTTCTGTAGTTTCTTTGTTCAGCTTTTGTTTGGAAGATCTCTCCAGTGGTGAAAGAAGTGTGTTAAAGTCACCCAGAATTATTGTGTTGTGGTCTGTTTGACTCTTGCATTTGAAAAGTGTTTGTTGAATATAGATGCTCCATTGTTTGGGGCATATATATTTATAATTGTTAAGTCTTGTTGGGGTATGGTTCCCTTGAGCAGTATGTAGTGTCCTTCTTTAGTCCTTTAAATTAACTTTAGCTACTTTATTTGAAGTCTACTTTATTTGATATGATGATGGAAACCCCTGCTTACTTTTGCATTCCATGTGAGTGGTATGATTTTTCCCAACCTTTCATCTTCAGTCTGTTGATGTGTTTTCTTATGAGTCTCTTGGAGGCAGCATATTTTGGGTCTTTTTAAAAATCAATCTGCTAATCTGGGTCTTTTGATTGGTGAATTTAGGTTATTAACATTCAGGGTTATTATTGAGACATGATTTGTACTCTCAGCCATTTTTATTTATTTTTGATATTTAAGGTGACTTGGTTTCTCCGCTGATTAGATTTTCCTTTAGTGTAATCCCTTCCTCTGCTGATTTTTATCATTGTTTTTTATTTCTTCTTCTTGGAATATTTTGCTGAGGATGTTCTGTAGTGCAGGCTTTCTAGCTGTAAATTCTTTTAACTTTTGTTTATCATGGACAGTTTTTATTTCATCATCAAATCTAAAGCTTAATTTTGCTGGATATAAGATTCTTGGTTGGCATCCATTTTCTTTCAGAGCTTGGTATATGTTGTCCATGATTTCCTGGTTTTGAGTGTCTTGGTTGAAAAATCTGCTGAGATAAGAATTGTTCTTCCTGCAGCTTGTAAGATTCTATCCTTATTCTGAATATTCTGAACTAGGCATTTTCATTATAATGTGCCTTGGTATAGATCTGTTGTAATTTTGTACATTTGGTGTCCGTCCTGTAACCCTCTTGTATTTGGTTTTCCAATTCATTCTTCATGTTTGGAAATTTTCTGATATTATTTCATTGATGAGATTATGCATTCCTTTGGTTTGAAACTCTGCGCCTTCCTGTATCCCAATAACTCTTAGATTTGGTCTTTTGATGCTGTCCCATAATTCTTGGATGTTCTGTTCATGTTTCCTTACCATCTTTCCTTACCATCTTGTGTGGTCAACTTTATTTTCCAGATTGTATACTTTGTCTTTATTATCTGATGTTCTGTCTTCCAGGTGATCTAATCTGTTGGTTATGCTTTCTATTGAGTTTTTTTTTAATTTGGTTTATTGTTTACTTCATTTCAAGGATTGCTGATTTTTCTTTTTCTTTTCTTTTTTTTAGAATCCCATCCCTTTCTTGAAGAGTAATCTTTTGCTACCTATATTTGCTCCCTTATCTCTTTGTTGGTATGATCAATGGATGCCTGTATTTGCTCCCTTATCTGTTTATTGGTGTTATCAATGATTGCCTGTATTTGCTGTCTTATCTCTTTGTTGGAGTGATCAATTTTTGCCTGTATTTGCTCATTTAGGTCGTTCTTTAATTCAGAGATCATTTTAATTATGAATATTCTGAACTCCTTTTCTGGCATTTTATCAACTTCGCTGTGCTTGGGTTCTGTTATTATAGTATCCTGGTTTGTTTGGGGGCACTTTCCTCCCCTTTTTTTTATATAGTCTACTTGTCTTCTTTTCTTGCAATGAGGATCTGAGATATTTCAGTTTCTACTCTATATTCTTATAGTGTCTGTGCAGATTGTCTACACCTCACCTTAATGTTAGGCTTCCATACCCTGCTGGTGTCCCTCAGTGTGTGCTACTGCAATTAAAGGTGGCGGTGGCAGTAGCCAAGGTTACTTGAGATAATGGTGGAGGTGTCCCAAGATGGATGCAATGTTTTACACAGATGGGGCTGAAAGGGTGAGCCTTACACTGTTTTTGGGATGCCTGCTCTGAGATGCAGCTGCTTCTACCTAGGCCCTGTCTGTTGTCAAAAAGTAGAGGCTACTGCATGGGGATGGCTATGGTGATGTGTGCAGTGTCCCAAGATGGAAGTGGGTTAGGCTTGGGCTCCCAGGTGGAGGTGGGGGTGGCAGACTTGGACCTACTGTGGGCCTGGGTCTATGTTCTTGTGGGCGGATCTGGGCTGAGTCTGAGCTCTCACAGTGGTTTGCTGGTTGGAAGAGGTGGTCTTGTGCTGCAGGTCCATTGGGTGTCTGCAGGTGGCGGGATGGACCTGGGCCTGCTCTAAGACTGGGTCCAGCGCAGGTTAGTGTGGCCAGCTTAAGCCTTTTCTCTGAAATCTTTCTTTTGTGACATCTCTATTCTGTTTGTTCACACTTTATATATATCTACGCATATAACATACTGTATTTTATTTATCTTACATGTCTGCTTCCAGCCAGATCAGTGATTTCAACCTCAGGATACTATTGTCCTGCCTAGGGAGGTATAACATAATCTCAGGGTTAGGATGGAGTGGTGTGGGCTGGAGAAGGTGTGTGTATTGACTACAGATGTAATCTAGAATTATTCTACTTCATTATGAGTAGTCATAGTGTTTATTTAGAAATTTGAAATGACCAAGGAAGGCATGATATTTTTATATTTATTAAAATTAGACATGGGTTGAAAAAGAGTTGGGAGTAAGTATCTCATGCACTGGGAACATGTCTTATTTATCATTTTATTCCGAGCATGTGTCATGGTGTCTGGGACTGAATATGCACCAGTTGGTGGATATGGAATAGAAGGAATAAGGAAGTGTTTTCCTAAGAAAATTTTGTCTAAGAACAATGTTCAATTAATTCCCTTCCTTTTTTTTTTTTCCTGTTGCTTTACTCTTTCTTTTCCTCATCACTTAGGGAAGATGTCATTTTATGGCTAATTAATCAAAATTGAACTCAACTGAAGACATGTCCACAAAAAGCCCATGAAAATTTTGCAATCAGTACTGCATACAATCTATGTTTTTCTCATTTTTCCTATTTTTACCATATCTTGGAATTTGTTGTCTAAAGGAGATTGAAGGGAAGGGAGCTGGGTGTTGTCTTTCACTCCAGAGAACTATTTGAAGTATAGATTGTCTAGAATAAGGGTATTCTCTCTCTTATAGAGTGCTGTGCGATATTTTTCACTTACATTCTCTCCTGTGTGTGTGTGTGTGTATGTGTGTGTGTTTTTAACAACTCCATGCTGATTATGCCATAGTGGTACCTACTTTTCAATGTGATTTTGTTGTATATTGGTTCTTTTAGCATTATAAAATACATATTTTACACTAATTTCATTTTAGATTGGCTATTTTCTGAGATTCCTCCTGATAAGATTTTCTAGAAGTAATAGTTAATTTCATCAGAAATATGAAACACTCAGCCCTGAGCTGCTTTTCTTCCAAACCTCTGGGCTTTCCTCTCCTCTCACTACCTGTTGGCTTTTGTTCGTTACCCACAGATTTCATTAAGAAGATTTATGGAGCAAGACTCAAAACTCTTTTCCTGCCTTTTTGATGAAGCAGCTTTTTCATTATTCCTCTCAAGCTTTAACAAAATTAAATATTCTTTCACCTTTTAAACGAGTGAATTAAAATTAGTTATTTATATTTAACTATTTATAATATTTATTGGTCTTCACTCTGTTGTACCTGGACATTTTCTGAATGGGTTAAAAAAATTTGAGCTACAGATAATTATGTATCCAAGTCACATGTGAGAGAGGCATAAAATATGTTAGATAGCAAAAAACTGATAGCAAAATATAAGAAAGGGACTGTTATGATAATGAATATTAGTTTTAATTTTTTGAAAGAAATTTTACTATTTGAAAGCATTAAATTTCCAGTAAAAGTGTTTATATTTATTGTTTCTCTTTTCAGATAATGGTTCTGGATCTGGAGAAGGAGGTAAGCTTTAAGTACTTCTTAAAGGGTATTTGTTTTGTTGTACTTTTCTTTTTAACTGCTTTGAGATGTAATCAGATGCCACTTGATTCACCTGTTTTAAGTGTACAACTTGGTGACTTTTAGTATATTCAGAGTTGTACATTTCACTACAATTAACTTTAGAACATTTCATATCTAGAACGAAACCATTTGCCCCTTAGCCATTATCCCTCACCACTGTATGGCCCTTGGCCCCAGCCATTCCCTAGTTCATGCATTTTTCTCTGAAGGTGTGTTGTCAGACTAAGAGGAAAATGCTGTAGCCCCTGTTAAATTGAGGCTGCACAAAATTACTTCCTCTTGAGATCATCCACACAAAGGAGTTTAGCTTGGGTCAGAGTATTTGTGACTCTCTCCTACTCCTTGCTTCCAAAATTTTGATTATAAGGAATTTTTGGGGGGGAGTGTGTACCAGGGATTGAACCCATGGGTGCTTCATGCTGAGCCATATCCTCAGCCCTTTTATATATTTTGTTTAGAGACGGGGTGTTGCCAAGTGGCTTAGGGCCTCTCTGAGTTGCTAAGGCTGGCTCTGAACTCACAGGGCTCTTGCCTCAGCCTCCTGAACCACTGGGATTACAGGCATGTGTCACTGCGCCCAGCTCTATCATTAGGAATTTTTAAGGTACAGGGTCATAATACTCAGAGTGAGTTTTGTATAGAAAAGAGAGAACTAATAGAATACTTCCAGTGAAATTTAGAGTTTAAACCCTTAAAATTTTCTAATGTTTTAATTTTTATTTTACAAATATATGAGCAAATTAATATTTGACAGTAGCAACTAATAGAATTTAAATGGTCAGAATTAAAAATGACTAAACCTAGGGGCTGGAGTTGTAGCTCAGTGGTAGAGCACTTGCTTAGTGTATGTGAGGCACTAGGTTCGATTCTCAGCACCCCATATAAATAAATAAAGGTCAGCAACAAAGAAAATTAAACAAGAATGACTAAACTATTACATAGTCTAGTGAGGTTTTAATTCTATCTATTGTATGAAAAATAATGTTTGAAGTACTATGAGGATACAGTAAAAGAACACTCATGCTGGGAAAATTTGCATGAGTTAGTTAACAAAATTAAATATTCTTTCAAGTTATGATCATTCAACACCACATGAAACCCTATTCCAAACTACACCTTACTCTGTATTTCATAGATTTCTAAAATTCATGAAGAAGTTCAAGAATAGCAGCTTCAGCCAAAAAGAAGGTGATTAAAGCTGTTGAACTATGAATTTGATTTATTTTTATTTTTACTTTTTTGGGATTGAACTCAGGGACACTCAACACTGAGCCAAATCCCTAACCCTTTTTTGTATTTTTAGAGACAGGGTCTCTCCAAGTTGCTTAGTGCCTTGCTAAGTTGTTAGGGCTGGCTTTGAACTCCCAAACCTCCTGTCTCAGCCTCCTGAGCTGCTGGGGTAGGTTACAGGTGTGTGCCCCTGCGCACAGCTAGATAAATGGACATATTCAAGTAGAAGCTTTATAATGTGTGAAGGATCAGCCCATGACTTCTAGATCTTAGAGCTAGAAAGGATTTTAAGAGATCAGGTCTAGATCCCGTGGTCAGATATTCAGTCAAAAAAGTTGTTCTTGTTCCTGTGATAAAAGAAGTGAGAATAGTTTTCAGGAATTGCTAATATGAAATGGTATTGGATATTTTATTCTAAGGAGGTAAGTTGGTCCTTTTTAGGAGTATGAATTAGAAAGATTAGTAGTTTACTCAAATTAATATATAAATCTTAGTGAGCTATTGGTGGCACTAGTATTTCATAATGTTTTGAATCCTCAGAATTACTTAGGATTGTGATCTCTGAAATCTTCCTGGAAATATTTCTACTTAGAGTGCAGGCAAACACACCAAATTGGAAGACTACAAATATTTATACTTAGCATGGTATTTCCTTTAAAAATTTCTCCCTTCCTCCTTTTTCTGTTCTTTCTATTCTTCCTTTCTTTTTTTCCTCTCTCCCAGGGCCTTGTGCCTGCCCAGCAAGCACTCTGCCACTGAGTCACACCCCCAGACCTTTTTTAAGTTTTATTTTGAGTTGCCCAGGCTGGACTTTGAACTTGCCATCCTCCTGCCTCAACCTCTCAAGCAGGTGGGATCACAGGCATGCACCACAATTCCTGGCTTCCTTTTAAACCTTAATTACCGATTGATATCATTTGAATTGTATTCTTTCCTGAACAAAATTGAGAAACCTCTTGAGTGAACTGAAATTGTTAAATTGGCCTCAGTGCTGATTCCCTGCCTAGTCTGAGATTATCATGATATGGATCCACTGAGGTTGAGACCCATGCATGTACGATCTCCTCAAGTATGGGACGTGAGCTGAGTGCTAGTATTTCTGCTATTTTTTGTGCTGGGTCATAGGTGCCAAGGGACCAAGTAGGCAAAGGGAAAAGGTCCTTTATAAAAAGACCCCTTTCCTTTTCAAAATTTGGAGACAGATATTTGTTTTAATTCTGGAATTGGTTTTTTATGTAGTTAGAAAGGCAGGTATGAAACTAATGTGAGGAAAAGGGTGGAAATTAAATTCTGTGGTCTTCGAGCATTGTTCTGCTAACCAGCATTATACAGATTTATTTCAATAGAAGGGTAATTACAGAACTGAATTTATTGCCTTTTGGGGGGTTGTATGTTAGGAATGAAACCCAGAATTACTTTTTAATTCTCTCTCTTACTCAGTGTTACACGGTAATTTTTTTTAAATTTTTTTAGTTGTACATGGACACCATGCCTTTGTTTTGTTTATTTGTATGTGGTGCTAAGGATTGAACTCAGTGCCTCACACATGCTAGGCAAGCCCTCTGCCATTGAGCTACAGCCCCAGCCCACATGGTAATTTTTTAAAAAATATTTTTTTAGTTGTCAGTGGACTTTATTTTATTTATTTATATGTGGTGCTGAGAATCGAGCCCAGTGCCTCACTCATGCTAGGCAAGCACTGTACCACTGAGCCACAATTCCAGCCCACATGATAATTCTTTTAAAAGCAATTCGTTACCAAATCTATTTTGCTAGCAACAATACTTGTATTACAGGTTATATTGTATTCATTATTAACAGCATTGATAGATTTTGGAAGTGACTCTTTGCAAGAGCTGGGGCTATTTTTTCCCCAGAAACAGGATAATGGGTAATGAAAACATGAAATGTATCTGGAAAGGATCCCAACTTTTGGTTGAAAGTTTAATTTCTCTTTTTAAACAGAAGAGGAAGGGTCAGGGGCAGAAGCTCACAGAAAACACTCCAAGTGTGGACCTTGCAAATATAAAGCTGAGTGTGATGAAGATGCAGAAAATGTTGGGTGAGTTGACTGAGGGAAAGGGATAAACTTAGAGGTTGGTCCTCAGCATGACTATATTTACAGAAAGGTATCATTTGCCTGGTTCTGTGTATTTTGTGCTTTATGTATTTGTTAAGTTTAATGCTAGTCTTAATGACTTTTCTCTTAAGTTGATATGATATGTAAATAAGTTTGTTATATTTTAGACAGAAAATCCATTTATAGTTTTTGGATATTACCTGTGGTTTTTTTTCATTGATAATTTTATACTAGCTGCTAATTTTATACCCAACCTGCAATTTTGAATTATCTTATTACACTTTTAATTAGTATCTATAACAAAACAACTTCTCTTTTTCTTCTCTTCAGTTTTATACAGAAATCTTTTCATATTTTCAGTGTGTTAAGTAAAAAATTGTTTCTACAAATCCCCGCTGACATTTTTGTTTTTTCATGATCAGCCTTCACTATGGCTGAACAAAATGACTAGAAGCATTGTCCAGTTTCCCACTTACTCCCTGGAAGATAGGGGTTCTCTGGTAGAATAGTGATAGTGTAGACATTTATCAACAGTCATGTTTGGTTTCCCTTTCATCAGTATTCTGTTCACTTGTTTCCAGTTTCATCCTTCTTTCATTTTCCTACAGTGCCTGCTTTATGCTTGTTTGATTTTAAAAGTTTGCTGACTTTAAGACCTGATTGCACAAATGGATCTTGTTCACTTCCTCCATTTCCCCTTAATGCATATTTCAAAATGCTTATTTTACAGAGATTTGCACTTTCTTTTCCTTACTTTTACATATTTTTGGTGTGTATTTTCCAGTCCCATCTTTTATTTAGCCCTTGCGTGCCTTTCACAAAATAGTAGTAATTAGATCTAATTAGCATTAATGTTCAAAGGGAGTATTAAAAATCAAGATCATTCCATTTTCAGTATTTATGGTACAAACATCAACTATTTTGATGGCATTTGGTAAAATTAAATGCCTGATAGTTCAGTGTAGGTGAAACTTGGCAAAAGATAAGCAAGTGAAGTGAGAAGTAAATTCAGTAAGACCTGAATTTACTCTATTTCTGTCTGTCCTTGGATCATTTGGACTGGCCTGTGTCTGCTCAGTTCAACCAGAGTGATTTGATTTGGGAGAAATTTTTCCAAGCAGATAATAGCCAGTAGAGCAAGAGAGATGATGGGCAATATGGACTTTTAGAATGAAAAGAAAGAAAAGATGAAAGATATCTTCCTCTTGATTTATACTCATGGCATGATGAAACACCCATGTGTGTGTATGTGTGTGTGTATGCAGTCTACAGTATAGCTATCAATGATTGATTGGCTGGCTCTGTTGGTCTGTTTTTATTCCTTTGACAGTACCTCTATTCAGCCTTATTTTATGTATTTCTCTGCTGTCATTTTTCATTCCTAAATAGAAGGAGCTAGAGGTCTTTTACTTAGAAGTAAAACAGATTCCAGCTCGTTGCAAAGGTAGCCCCAAATATGATATCTGTATGACAGAATACACATCTTTATGTGAATAAATGCCTCATAAAATGTATTATATTTTTAATCAGAGCAACTCTGTTTTAGGTACTAATAATATATGTGTTTTGGCTTAAAATACCACATACATTAAGTTCTGCGTATCTTAGAACTGTAGCTCTCATTCTTGTACATGCAGGCCCTAAGTACAAGGGAGTGGGCATAGACCAGGAAAGGCTTACTGATAGTAAGGACCATATAGGTCTTACCATCAGGGAAGGAGCACAGAGACTGGGATCGCAGTTAAAACCACACAGTAGTAAAAAAAGCTTGAGGAAGTAATTGATACCTTCATCTAGAAAATAAAGGATGAAACTAAATTCTACTATAGAATTTCCTTTTGTATCTTAAAAGGAAATTTTAAGAACATTGAACCTTTTAGTCTATAAAACATTTTGATTGCAGTTAATTTAACAATGTAAATATATCTCAACAATCATTTTTAAAAATTTAACTTTTAAATGAATCGTAGCAACAAGAAAGATATATGGAGGTTATATAACTCCTTCAAGGTACTTTCATTGTGCTATCCATGATTGGCACCAAGTGAAAAGTAACATCATCACCTAAGGATAATTTTTAACTAGCTAGCTAGACTTTTTAGGTGTGCAGAAATACGACATTAGCCATTAAGACTCAAATATTCATATGTAAACCTATTACTTAAGATGTTATTTATTGTCATATAAAAAGGCAAACTTTTTGTTTTAAAATTTTTTTATTATTATAAACTAAGCACTCTTGTCATGAATTATTATAAATGCCATCAGAGTCATTATTAAGGTTGGGTAGGATCTTTTAGCTTGATCTTCTTATTTTACAGATGAGGAAATAGGACTAAAACCAGAGTTTTGATGGAGTGGATTCTCCTATCTTTTACAAACTTAGGACAATGTTTTTTTGGACCTCATTTGCATAAGTTGTCTTTTTTTTTTTTCATTACTGAAAAGAATGCTTCTTTCTTTCTTCAAGGTAGCTTCCTGATAAATTTTTTTTTTTTTTTTTTGGCAGGGGGTTGCTTTGTGTGTTTTGGCTTAAAATAACTGCATTATTGCTTTACAGTTCTGTAGAGTAGAAATCTGACACAGGTTGGTCTCTGAGCTGGGATCAAAGTGTCAGCAGCACTACATTCTTTTCTTAAGGCTCTCAGGGAGAATCTGTGCCTTTAATCTTTCTAGCTTCTAGAAGCAGCCCTTATGTTTTGGTTTGTGGTCCCTTCCATCTTCAAAGCCAGCAATGGTAGATTGAAACCTCCTCACACTGCATCACTCTTGACTTTTGTCTTCCTCTTCTACTCCCCCAGTAGTGAGTAGCCAGTTAGTGATCTTGCTCTCTTTTTTTTTTAAAAAATTGCTCACTTTAAATTAATGCGTAATAATTGTGCATATTTATGGGGTGTAGTATAATACTTAAGTAAATGGACGCAGTGTGTATTGATCAAATCAGGGTAATTAGCGTTCCTGTCTCCTTAGCATTTTTTATATTTGGAGCCTTAAGCTCCCCTCTTCTAATTCTTTGTGATATATATAATAGATTATTAAGCACTTAGTCACTCTGCTGTGCTGTAGAACACAAGCATAGGGAATGGGGGCTGGAATGAGGATGAATAGCAAGTACCAGAATGCCTGAAAAATTTTTAAAAATAACATTGCCCTCCTCTCCATCCAGCTGACCTGGTCCTAGCTGTGAGGTTTTTAACTTCCTATCTCCTGGTCATTCTAAGAACTATCGCTTTTCATAGTCCTCAGCTGCCATCTAGAATCCAAATGACTTTCAGACTTTTTGACTATGCCTCATGTAAGAAAGGCATTGACCTTATTACCCAGCACTTTTGTACATATACACATAGTGCTAAAATGTGTTAAGAACAACAATGTTCTGTGGATTGATACCGTTATTAAATACGGTGCACTTGAATATTTCCTTTCCTATTTTCTTGAAAAATGTTTGTAGAAAACGGTCTCCCTGGTACACACTTGTAATCCCAACTACTTAGGAGGCTGAGGTAGGAGAATTGAGGTTTGAGGTCAGCCTGGACAACTTATTTAGACCCTGTCTCAAAATAAAATAAAAAGAGCTGAGGATGTAGCTTAGTAGTAGAGTATTTGGCTGGTATGCTCAAGGTCTTGGGTTTGATCCCTAGTACCATGCAAGATAAAAAAGGTCATAGTGATCCACTAAATTGACTTCATAATCCACTAGTGATTATCACCAATGGTTTATAAAATAGTGCTCTAGAATGTAATTACATTAGGGTGTGTGTGTGTGTGTATGCGTGTATACACACACACATCATGTTAGATTTTTGCATATGATTTTTTTTTTTTTGGTACTGGGGATTGAACCCAGGGGCACTTAACCACTGAGCCACATTCTCAGCCCCTTTTATTTTTTATTTTGAGATGCTAAGTTGCTGAGGCTGGCTTTGAACTTGTGATCTTCCTGCCTCAGCCATCCAAGCTGTTGAAATTATAGGTGTGCACCATTGTGCCCGGCTAGATTTTTGTATATGGGTACATCCACTAAAAATGTTTTGTATTTTCTCATTTTGAAAAAGAAATATTCTTCCTATCAGAAGAAAAGCTATATAACCCATCTAGTTTCCAAAGAGAAACTTATATCTTTCCTCTTGATTTAAAGTTTTTGTCCTTAATAATTAAGTTTTAAAAAACTTCAGCATTTTGGGTGCCATGTAAATTAATTTTTTGTTATTAAGAGTAGTGCCGCTCATCATGTACAACCATAAGAATGTGGTCCTAATTAGAATAAGTTATATTCCATGTATGTAAAATATTTCAAAATACACTCTACTATCGTGTGTACCAAAAAAGACTAATACCATGTTTTTCATTTAGCTATTTTAATGAAATTTGATTTAAATATATTATGTGCTTTCTTGCCTTATTAAATATATCATATTCTAATATACATATATATGAATATGTACAATTTTTGGCAGGGGTGTTATGGATTGAACCCAGGGATGCATTACCACTGAGCTACATCCTCAGTCCTTTTTGTTTTTTACTTTTAGAACAAGGTCTCACTGAGATGGGCCTTGAACCTTGTGATCCTCCTGCCTCAGCCTTCTGAGTCACTGGGATTATGGGTGTACACCACCACACTTGGTTACATTTTAACATATTCTTTTCTTTTGTACTTGGGGTTAAGCCTAGGAACATATACCACTGAGCTAATTCCCCACCCCTTTTTATTTTTTGAGACAGTTTCTCACTAAGTTGCTGAGGCTGATCTTGAACTTGCTTAATGTTAAAATTTGTAAAGTGTATTATAGTTCTCAGAGCATTTTTTTCATGGTCCCCTCCAAATCTTGCTGTCAGGTAGGTAGGTAGAGAAGTATTATCTTGATTTTATAGGTTAAGGTAAGTTCAGGAGAGCCTGAATGCCTTCCTATTAAACAGGAGGACCGAGCACCCATTGCATCAAGTACATATGTGTAATATGGTGATGTTCTCAGAGGCTC